ATATTTTGTTCTCAATATGGCGGATGCGTCGGTCCTGATGAGATTTGTGATATAGTTGCTGTCAGGTCGTCATGTAGTGTTTGTCGCAGGGATAATAGCATACTTTTCATTGAAATTTAAGTGGTAGGATGGTCAGAAGCCGGAAAGTTTTCAATTAAGGATGTAGTAGAAATGGCAGTAATAGTAGGAGGAGAAGAAGGTTGCAGGCCAGAATCAGATAGTATGTCCAGTCTGGGTTTGGACTTAGCAGGACTACTTGTAGAAGGAGACAGGGGTGGAGAGGACTCACCCGGGTCTCCTGGGTATAGTGCTGCCTTGAGCCTGGGGTCTGTGTGCTGCACTGTGTCTCCCTCTGTTTGTGTGAGGAGACTGTCAGCAGAAGAGCCAGCGCCATGTTGGATGCAGGGGCCGAGAGTACGGAAGAAGCTCGTCAACTTCCCTGGGTGCCCTGGTGATCTGCGGCATCGGGGCATGATCCGGAGTGTAGTAGAAGCCTCTGTATCCCCTTATGTCTCTGGGAAGAGGCTGCGATGTGTCTAGGTCCAGTGTGTGCCGTGGTTAGGCTGACGGCGGGATGAAGCTCTCACTCACGAGCTGCCATCCCGGAGCCGGCCGCGCATGTCCCCCTATGTGATTAATTATAGAAAGTTATCCTTTTTTAGTAAACAAGACCCAAAGTTTCTTTTAATAATGTTAGCACTTTGGTGGTATCATACACGGCCTCTGGCATTTTCTCTCACTTTTGGGATGTTTTGTAGCCTCCCTAGCGGTCTGATTATGTCCATATTTCTGTGCTCAAAGAGGTACATTTTTTTGCATGGAAATATGTATTTTTTCTATTGTAGGCCTGTAATTTTTAGGAATAACTCACTGAAACCTGTCCGAACAAGAGTCTAGTAAACATCCCGTGTATGTTAAAATTTGAAACACAAAATCATAAAATAATAATCATAAAAAATAATAAATTTAATTCAATAATATAATCAAACAAAAAACACTGAAATTTGAAATAGAGCGCCAAGGTCGCACATCGCTGAGCTCAGTCGCAGAATCGTTTTCAGTGTCTGATGACGAATTTCCCACACGAATCTGTTGGGAGTGCAACAGCATGTACTATAATGTACTATATATAGTATTGTGTGTTAATATCACTTGACCAGTAGATGGCACTGTACACTAAGGTTACTAGTTGTGCATGTGTAAAACTTGTTGGTTCTATCTTTTCTTCTTCTCTATCATCTCTCATCTCAAAGGAAGTAACATGTCTGCCATGTCTGTTATACTTTGCTGAAATGTGCTCTGTATGTTTGTAACTTAAGCCACACAAGTAAAGTCATACTTCTGCCTCATCACTACCAGTGTCTTCTCTAATACATAACCAACAGAATCATTATCACTCAATTCTGCAAGTGGTTCTGATTTACGATCGCTGTTCTCTAGCCGGTCTAAAACCGCGTCTGAGCTAAAGGGACGCTTTTTGGATGCCATGGACGTTTCTCAGTTTCCAGGCAGAAAGAACAGTAAAAATGCAGGCAGGGCGCCGGACAAAGCACTCGGGACAAAATGTATGTGAAATGGTTTGATACAGGAATGTTATACTATGTGATTTTAGTGTATTTAGTGAATGTCACTTTTACAAATTTAAAATTTCCCACCAGTTCCGTCCCCCGTACGTCCCAATGTCGCATGGAACGGAATCCAGAAGACAGATGCCGGCATCGGCTGGAGGACATTGCCGGGGACACTGCAGGGGGAACATCGCGGGAGCGCAGGACAAGGTAAGTGAAGAAGAGATCCCGGAGCAACACTGCAGTGTATTCCCGAGTGTAGCTCGGGGGGGCTACCGCTTGTGGTGCTGAAACTTTACCCCGAGCTACACTCAGGAATACCTCCAGGGAGGTTAAGTGATATGGGTTTTAATTTAGAAAGATAACATTCTCTGCTGGAAAGCATTTCATCTTCATCTGAGGGATCGCTGTAGTTACTCTTAGATTCTGAAGTCTTTGTTTTTAATGGGTTTACAAGTTTAGGCATCACAGAATGGTCTGGGTGTGAGCTGCTAAAGGTTTCAATGATATTTGCTGTCTGCCAAGTAGAAGGTTTAACCCTTGTACTGCTGGTTTTTAACTCCTGTGTTTCCTGTGCCAATTGCTGATATTCATGGTTTTGGACATCTAACTTTATGCTGGAGATGGATATTCGCAATGTTCAACTTTTCACATTCTCGTTCTAAAGTTGATTTTATCCCTTTACACTCAGACAACTCCTCAGAGATTTGCTCTATATTCTTTCTTAAAGAAGCACTCAATTCCTTAGTTTGGAAATCTTTTTCCTTAAAATTCAACATTTTAGCTGACAATTGTTCCATCTTACCAGAAATGTTTGTAAATTGAATTTCTACCTCATGGAGTGTTCTCTGTAAATTTTTAACATTATCAGCCTCTCGTCTTGTTTCCAATTTCGTATTATTTAATTTATCTGCCAATTCGAGAAATGACAAAGAAATTCTGGCCAAGATTTAAACAGCCATGTTTCTTGGAGATCATATCCCCCCTTATGTACTATACATGGTGATCATATCCCCCCTTATGTACTATACATGGTGATCATATCCCCCTTATGTATTATACATGGTGATCATATCCCCCCTTATGTATTATACATGGAGATCATATCCCCCCTTATGTATTATACATGGTGATCATATCCCCCCTTATGTATTATACATGGGGATCATATCCCCCCTTATGTATTATACATGGTGATCATATCCCCCCTTATTGTACATGGAGATCATATCCCCCCTTATGTATTATACATGGAGATCATATCCCCCTTATGTATTCTACATGGAGATCATATCCCCCCCTATATATTATACATGGAGATCATATCCCACCTTATGTATTATACATGGAGATCATATCCCCCCTTATGTATTATACATGGAGATCATATCCCCCCCCTTATATATTATACATGGAGATCATATCCCCCCTTATGTATTATACATGGAGATCATATCCCCCCTTATGTATTATACATGGAGATCATATCCCCCTTATTATACATGGAGATCAAATCTCCCCTTATGTATTATACATGGAGATCATATCCCCCCCTTATGTATTATACATGGAGATCATATCCCCCTTATGTATTATACATGGTGATCATATCCCCCTTATGTATTATACATGAAGATCATATCCCCCCTTATGTATTCTACATGGAGATCATATCCCCCCCTTATGTATTATACATGGAGATCATATCCCCCCCCCCCTATATATTATACATGGAGATCATATCCCCCCTTATGTATTATACATGGAGATCATATCCCCCCTTATGTATTATACATGGAGATCATATCCCCCCTTATATATTATACATGGAGATCATATCCCCCCTTATGTATTATACATGGAGATCATATCTCCCCTTATGTATTATACATAGAGATCATATCCCCCTTATGTATTATACATGGAGATCATATCCCCCCTTATGTATTATACATGGAGATCATATCCCCCCTTATGTATTTATACATGGAGATCATATCTCCCCCTTATGTATTATACATGGAGATCATATCTCCCCCTTATGTATTATCCATGGAGATCATATCCCCACTTATGTATTATACATGGAGATCATATCCCCCCTTATGTATTATACATGGAGATCATATCTCCCCCTTATGTATTATACATGGAGATCATATCCCCCTTATACATGGAGATCATATCCCCCTTATGTATTATACATGGAGATCATATCCCCCTTATGTATTATACATGGAGATCATATCCCCCCTTATGTATTATACATGGAGATCATATCCCCCCTTATGTATTATACATGGAGATCATATCCCCCTTATGTATTATAAATGGAGATTATATCCCCCCTTATGTATTATACATGGAGATCATATCCCCCTTATTATACATGGAGATCATATCCCCCTTATGTATTATACATGGAGATCATATCCCCCTTATGTATTATTACATGGAGATCATATCCCCCTTATGTATTATACATGGAGATCATATCCCCCCTTATGTATTATAAATGGAGATCATATCCCCCCTTATGTATTATACATGGAGATCATATCCCCCTCTTAATCTCCTCTTCTCAAGAGAGAATAAATTCAGTTCCTCTAATCTTTCCTCCTAGCTGATCTCCTCCATGCCTCTTATCAGTTTGGTTGCCCTTCTCTGTACTTTCTCCAGTTCCCCAATGTTCTTTTTGTTAATTGGTGCCCAAAACTGAACTGGATATTCCAGATGAGGTCTTACTAATGATTTGTACCGGGGGAAAGTATCTCTTGCTCTCTCTCTGGAGTCTATACATCTCCTAATACAAAGAGAGGATTTTGCTCACTTTAGAAACCGCAGCTTGGCATTGCTGCCATTACTAAGCTTGTGATCTACCAGAGCTCCCAGATCCTTCTCCACCATTGACCTCCCCCAGTTGTACCCCTCCCCCTAGTATGTATGATGCATATTCTTAGCTTCCAAGTGCAGAACCTTACATTTATCAACATTAAACCTCATTGGCCCCATAGTCCCCCAATTACACAGAGCATTGTAAATTGGAGACATCCTGTAAGGACGTTATTCCCCGGCACAGCTTGGTGTCATCTGCATATTGTTTATATAAATATATTAAAAAGTAAGGGTCCCAACACTGAACCTTGGGGTGCCCCACTAATAACACTGAACCTTGGGGTGCCCCACTAATAACACTGAACCTTGGGGTACACCACTAATAACACTGAACCTTGGGGTACACCACTGACACCCATTGACCATTCAGAGTATGAATCATTAACCACTACTCTCTGAATACGAACTTTTAACCGGTTTTCTATCCATTTACATACAGATTTTTCCAAGCCTGTAGACTTTACCTTACACATTAGCCGTGTGTGGGGAACTGTGTCAAAAGCGTTTGCAAAATCCAAGTATACCACGTCCACTGCCACCCCTCTGTCCAAGTATACTACATGCATGGCCACCCCTCTGTCCAAGTATACCATGTCCACCGCCACCCCCTCTGTCCAAGTATACCACGTCCACCGCCACCCCTCTGTCCAAGTATACCACGTCCACCGCCATCCCTCTGTCCAAGTATACCACGTCCACCGCCACCCCTCTGTCCAAGTATACCACGTGCACCGCCACCCCTCTGTCCAAGTATACCACGTCCACCGCTACCCCTCTGTCCAAGTATACCACATCCACCGCCACCCCATCTGTCCAAGTATACCACGTGCACTGCCACCCCTCTGTCCAAGTATACCACGTGCACCGCCACCCCTCTGTCCAAGTATAGCACGTGCACCGCCACCCCTCTGTCCAAGTATACCACGTGCACCGCCACCACCCTCGCTGTCCAAGTATACCACGTGCACCGCCACCCCTCTGTCCAAGTATACCACGTGCACCGCCACCCCTCTGTCCAAGTATACCACGTGTACCGCCACCCCTCTGTCCAAGGTTTTGCTCACCTCCTCATAAAAAGAAATGTGTTTGACAATTTCTGTCTTTCATGATTCCATGCTGTCTGTTGCCTAAAATGTTTTTTTCCAGCAAGAACTCATCTATGTGGTCTTTTATTAAACTCTCCAGTATCTCCCCAACTATAGAAGTTACACTAACAGGTCTGTAATTACTTGGTAAAGATTTTGACCCTTTGTTAAATATTGGCACCACATTAGCCTTACGCTAATCCAGTTGTACTATGCCAGTCATTAAAGAGTCCCTAAAAATGAGAAACAATGACTTTGAAGTGACAGAGCTCAATTCTTTAAGGCCCTGTGGGTGTATGCCATCCAGTCCAGGTGCATTATTCACCTTTATTCTGTCTAAATATTTTTGGATCATATCAATTGTGAGCCAATGTGGATCATCTGGAGATGTGTCAGTACCACAACCCATTATGGACAAGAGCTCCTCCATGCTCCTTTGTATACACAGAGCTTAAGAAGGTATTAAATAAATTTGCCTTCTCTTTGTCCCCAGTCACCCCCCCTATATTCTTCTGTAAAGGGCCTACATGCTGGGATCGGACCTTTTTACTATTCATATATTTAAAGAATTTTTTGGGGTTGGTCCTGCTATCTTTTGCAATCAGTCATTCATTTGCAATTTTTGCAGCCTTTATTTCCTTTTTGCATATTCTGTTATATTCTTTGTAATGTGTAAACAATGATAGCGTTCCTTTATTTTTATATTTAATAAAAGCCCTTTTCTTATTATCTATAGCCTTTTTAACTTTTGGTATAAAACCACATTGGTTTGATTTTCAGCATTTTAAACTTGTTACCCATGGGAATATATTTTGCAGTGTGTTTACATACAATCTTTTTGAGGAACTCCCATTTCTGTGTTGTGTTCATTGATGGCAATATTCCCTCCCAGTCTAAGTCTTGGAGAGCAGCTCTCAGCCTTGGATGATTAGCTCTCTTAAAGTTGAGCTAGTTCGTCAGTAATAAACTCTGCATGGTTTGCAATTACCAGGTCCAGCAGAGCATCATTCCTAGTTGGAGCTTCTATGAACTGTACCATAAACTTGTCCTGTAGAAGGTTTATACATTTTTGCCCATTAACTGTTCCTGCAGTACCATTACTCCAGTCAATTTCCGGGTAGTTAAAATTTCCAATTATTATTACTGTCCCAGCCCGTGCAGTCCTTTCGATCTGTGCAAGATCTCTGCGTCTCTGCCTCCTCATTAACACTGGGAGGCCTATAACAAATTCCAATGATTACCATTGTAGTATGCACCCCCAGTGCACTTCCACCCATAATGCTTCAGCCTCATCACACTCTCCAACTAGGTCCTCTTTCATACTCACACTGAGATCACTTCTCACATAGAGACAGACACCACCACCTTTCCTTTTTACCCTGTCTCTCCGAAAGAGAACATAGCCAGGAATATTAATGGCCCAGTCATGTGAAGAATGAAGTCAAGATTCAGCAAAACCAATTCAATCATAGTTCTCTTCATGCACCAAACCTTCCAACTCACCTATTTTTCTTGGCAGACTTCTGGCATTGGTGAACAAACGCTTCAATCCACTGACACCTTGTTCACACGTATTTTGCATATTTTTTTTATTTTCATACAAATGGTACCAATTCCAATGGTTGTTTGTAACATGGGAACCTTCTTATCATCTGCCTTAGCCCTCCCCCCTATCATTTCCCATTCCACCCACCAATAAGGACTGATCCCTATCTAATCTGTCCAATTATAATCTAATTCCCCCCCCCCAATCCTAGTTTAAATACTTTTCCAGCTTCGCCATAAAACCTCTCCCCCAGCACTAGCATATAGATTGCACCCCAATGAAAAGGCAGCCCAGTGCTCTACAAACTCAAATCCTTCCCTCTTACACCAGATCTTCAGCCATGCATTGAGTTCTCTAATCAGCCCCTGTCTTTTCTCAGTTGTGAATGGCACAGGTAATATTTCAGAGAATATTACCTTGGAGGTCCTTCCCTTCAACTTGCAGCCTAGTTCTTTAAATTGATTCTTAAGAAGCCTCCATCTTCCATGTATTCTGTCATTGGTTCCAACATGGACCAAGACAGCTGGGTCATGCCCAGCCCCTCTCAGTAATTGATGAACCTGGTCCACCAAATGCCGAACCCTGGCACCAGGGAGACAGCAAACCATACAGCTGAGGCGATCCTGGCGACAAATTATTTTATCAGTCTTTCTGATTATATAATTCCTTACTACCACCAGCTGTCTAGGCCTTCCTGCACTACCCTCACCACCCCTCCCAGATGGTCTGCCTTCCCAGCTGTTAGGGATAGACGTGACATCCAGAGATGCCTCCCCTGTGCTTTCCACCCAACTTGGCAAATCTGTTTGGGTGCTCAAACCCAGAGCCAGCCTTCCTTTTCTGTGAGTCCCTAACATTCCTTCTTGCTACATTAACCCATCTTCCTACCTAATAATCCTGACTAGCCCCTCCGCCCTCCACATCAATCCTATTAGCTACTTGCTCAGAAAGCAGAAGACCCCTTTCAAGGTTGTCTGTCCTGCCCAGTGTTGCAGCTTGCTCCTCCAGATCTCTAACATGACTTTTTCAGAAAGGCAACCCGCTCACATCTGTCCTGGAGCTGTTGTTCTATTGCTGCATACATGCAGCACACTGTGCAATGCACAAAACCTTCAACCCCACTAGCATATCCCATTTACAATATTAATTTTACTAATAGTAAATATCAGATGTCACTTACAGGTTAGTAGACTCCTGTTATAATCTCTTGTTTTCAACTCCGGTTTTTTTAACTCCACTCAATCAATGGTCCACTTGGTCAAAGGTCCAGTAAGAAAAATACAGGCAAGCTCTACAGCAAGTTTATATAGTACCTGTGTCACCTGTGACCAATTAACCCCTCCCCTTAATTAGCAGACTAAAGGAAGGCAAGGAAAGGAAAAAAAATTCTATTTAAAAAATGACAAAAATAGTGATTTAAAAAAAAAAACCCCAAAAAAGAAAATAAAACAACTACAAGCACCAGCAATCACCAGCAGTCAAAATTAAAACTGTTTTTCACTCTCCGATCAAATTTCCCACACTCTTTTTAGCTATCAGCCAGTAAAATGTGTCAGATTCATTGCACTGCACATTGGTGAGATGATACTTTTGGATTGGATTTGGAATATGGATTTTAATATGTTTTATCCAGTAATTGGTTTTACTTGCTACACTCTTAGAGCTGACTGTTTGTGCGAACATATTAATATACTTACCAGTTGTGACAAAACATCCAACACCCCAGCTGGGTGATTCCGTCATAGAACCTGTCAGGAATGGACTCGCCAATGGTGGTGGGACTCACCTGCCTTGTGGGCTGCAGTACCAAGGCTGGCCAGCGGGTGCTCTCAGCAGCCAGAATCTCACTTCTGCAATCAAGCCATCACCTGAGGCTGATTGCAGGAGGTGTATTTAAGCAGGACCAGGCCTGCGATCAGTGCCTTGGTGTATTGTTTCCCATGAGGCCCTGCACCTGGTATCCTGTGTTCCTGCATATCTGCCTACCTGATTTGTTGCTGCCCCTCCTTTGATCCTGACCTCTGCTGACAGTCTCCTGTTTAACTCCTGGCTTGCCTGACCATCCTTCTGCCTGATCCTCTGTACGGCGCTGCCCTGTGAGTTACTGAACCCGGCTTGTGACCCTGACCATTCTCTGCCTGCTCCTCCGGTACCTCGCTGCCTGCACGTTGCTGACCTGGCCTGCCTGACTACGCCTTACGCTACCCAGACGATCCATCCATCCATCCTGCATGGATCTGACCCTGTTACCAGGTCTGCCAGCCTCTTCACGTCAGGCTCCTTTCCCCGCACACCTCTAACGACGCTCTCTACCATTGCCTGACGTACTCAGGGGTCACGACCTGGTCTCAGTCTGCTCCAAGTCCATCCCGACCATCAGGGGCCCTCGTGAATAAGCAGATTGGGACTTAGACCCGCGCCCTGAGGAACCCTGTGCTGTGGGCTGCTAGAGATGCTGCCAGGCGGTGCTTAACCGTACCAAACGGCCTGCCTGACCATTCCACCCTCCAGCCCTGACTACGCCTGTGTTTCCCACACATTTTGGTCATACCCGGATCCCTGACAGAACCGCTTACTCGCCACTGGGACACAGGACCAAGGTATTATAGTTGGGCATTGCACCCAAGACTGGACGAGACTAGCTTTGATGCCAAAACTGGAATCCTTTATTGAACTGAAAACACAGACTTTTATACACTCCAGAAATAGGGGCAGTCCCCACAACAAAACAAATAGTACACATTGAGATAAATATACCACATTGATTTGATAACTGGGTGAAGCTGACATCAGCCTAATCTCATCAGGCAGGTGTAGAGTCTCTGAGTCTAGGAAGGAGGGGATTGAAGCAGTCATTGCCAGTTTGGGCACAGAGACTACAGATCTGTATTCTTGTCCTCCAGTTCTCAGAGTCTGTGTGTTTTGGGGGAGACATGGACTTGAATCTGAAGTAATCTACTCCAATAGCCCCACCCCCACCCCCCCCAGGTACCCACCAAAGAATAGAGTCCCCTCAGATGCAAGGGCCATGGTCAGTAGGCAAGAGGCTAGCCTGCAGTCCCCTCCAAAAGCCCCTGCCCTGGTTGTCTGTCACACCAGTGTGTCATAGTTATAGCACATCTGGTATTCTTCCAGGTTATACTACATTTTGAAGTGTAAGAAATCATGTTATGTGGATCAGTGCCTTGTAGACATTTTTATGTGTTTGATCCTTTCTTCTCAAGCCACCAAATTTAGTATTTGTGTTGTCAGCTGAAAGCCCAACTACTTTTTTAACTCTCTTATAACTCTTAGATTTGAGATGCTACAATTTCACCTTCAATTTCTGAAAACTCAGCTAACATATCTGGCAATAACAGGAAATCAATTCTGATGTCTGTGGTTTGACACATCTATTGGAAGAGTTACAAAGGAGGTTTTAGCAATGTCTGCCTGTAGTTCTTCTATTGCCCATTGTGCTAGAAATTTTGAAGTTATGGCTTAACATTTTGTTCAAGAACAACTAGATTTCTTTTCAAAATAGTTTTGAATTAAAGTAAAAGTACCTCCATGGAATATAAACTATGATACTATTTACATGAAGCACCCTCCTAGTTATCTAGGATGAAGTATAGGCCTTGCTAGAGAGGAGGGCTGAGTAACAGCCATGGTGTAATAGTAAGGAGTTTTAAATTGGATTAGGAGCTGAGAGGTTCTACAGGCTAGGCCTTATGGAATTTCCCCCTGCTCTAGGGTTTTGGAGGAAGGCCTAGAGACATTGGGTGGATCTAAGGAGATG